AAGATCTCGCTGATCAGGAAGTGCAAATGCATTTCAGAAAGCGCTGCCTTTCTCCGCGGCTCCTACCTTCCGCGCTTTAATGCGTTACTGGCCCCTTCATGAATGAGTGTCTTGACGACGGTTCGCTTTACATTTGCGCATCTGCAGACCTGCGCCTGCACCCTCCTCAAAGGACCCGGAACCGACGGAAGGTGTGGACGCTACAGGCAGCACGTGCGCGCAAACCCTCGCAGGTCCGGGCCGCAGGTCACGCTGCGACCGCCTCGCCCGTCCCGCGGGCCGGCATCGGCAACACCGGGCAGCCACCCAGTGCCCAGCGCGGGCCCCCAGCGCCGCGGCGGGACCCGGAGCTCCAGACCCAGATCCGCGCCTTGGAGACTGCCGGAGCCGCTGCGCGTGGCGGCGCGCGCCAGTAACCCCGGCACCGGGGAGGCTGAGGCAGGAGAACGGCCTCGAGTTCTAGGCGGCACCGTGTCAAAATCAGAGAGACACACAGCAGAGGACTACTGCTTCCGTCACACTAATCCCAGGAACGCGCCTAGGTTCCCGCGCGCTTCTGTTCCTCCAGCCAACCAGCTTGCGGATCGCGGGTGACGTAGCACGCCGCGTAGGCCAGCAGCCGTGACGTCAGTGCTCCGCGCGGCACGAGAGCGCTTCCGGGACGTCAGCGCTCGCGGCGGCCGTGGGGCTGTGACGTCACTGCGGCGCACGGCCCTGCGGGGCGGGGCGCCTCCATTGCTGGGGTCGCGCCCCGGGTCCCGCCCTGGGTGGTGGGTGACACTCTTTTTATGGCGAACCAGGCCCTTCGCCCAAATTATTCCCGGCCTTATTTATTTACCTGTTTGTGAGACAGGGTCTTACTAAAGTGTTGGATGCCCCGGGCGGGCGCGGTGCGATCTCCCTGCCTCGGCCTCCCGGATGCTGGGAAGATGGCGTGCGGGGCCGGCCTGGCCGCTGGGCCAAGGCCGTGGCCGGGGCAGGGGTTTACACCCGAGTGTGCGGCAGGACTGGGGCCTGCGTCTTAAATCTTTCTGCGAAGGGTCGCGCAGGCTCCCGGGTGAAGCCCGAAGAACATCCCGAGGCGCCGCTGGCATGGCCCGGGGACCGCGCGGGCAGGGCGGCGCTGCGGGCGGGTCTCACCGCGCAGAGGGACCGAGCGCCGCCCCGCCCGCCTGCGCCTCGCGGCCGCCCTTTGCTTCCTTTCCCCTCCGGGACAGCCTCGCCGTAGCCCCGCGTGCTCCCGAGTCACCGGGCCCCGGGGGGTGGCAGGCCCGAGCTTCTCGCGTGCTCCCCGCTCCGCCACCTGCTCGTCTTTTACGTTTGTTAGCGCCCTTCCTGCCCTCGTCCAGGCCGAAAACGCGGGGTCAGACTGCTCCGTCACCCCTGCGCGTCTGCTGTCTCCGGTGTGTCCCTGCTCTCTGGTTCCCCTGGGAAGTCCCAGCGAACGACTCAATCCCTCAAGTTACTCTTTCGTTCAACTAACATTAGCAGTGCTTATTGATCGCTTAGCTCACCAAAGAGTTCCAACTTTGCCAGTTGCCAGCACATGGTGGGAATGTGCTGGCCCTTGACGAATCAAGCGCTTGGAAGCGACCCCACCGCTCACCTCCCTATTTATTTATTTGTTTGTTTGTTTGTTTATTATTTTATTTGGAGACAAGATCTCACTAAGTGGTCCAGGCTGGCCTCGGACTTGCAGCAATCCTCCTGCCTCAGCCTCCTGAGTGCTGGGATTACAGATGTACTCCGACAAGCCCGGCTCTCTCCTTACTTTTAGGCACAGCACGTAGGTGCTACTCTGAGGTGCTACCTTCCTGCCCGGCACCAGGCCGCCTTGGAAATGCCTGCAGCTTGACCAGCCTGTGCGCCTGAAAGTTGGACGACCCTGTATTGACCATGAGCGACATGTACTGTGGGAACGAGAAACTTTCTTATTAGGCGATGAGACTTCGGGGCCGTTGGTTCCGCAGCGTAGCTCGGCTTCTTCTGACACTGAGAGGCCTTCCTGAACTTTCGCCTATGCCGTAGATGTGACCTAGGGTGCTGCTGCCCGTGTTTGCATGCCTTGCTTTACTTCCCTGTGTTTGCTAATTACCTCCTGCCCCGTTCTAGTAACTCTAAGAAATCTCACAACAGTCCTCACCATGTGTTTCAGTGACAGTCTTCCTCCAGCGCTGCAGACTCGGGGGCTTCGCCATGAGGTCAAGCATACTTCAGTATTTACTAAGTGAATGATGGTTTATTATATCCCTCAAAGGTCACTAAAAATGAAGTCGGTTCTGGGTATCAGTTTCTGTGGCTACCGAAACACCTGACAAAGTGAATGGGTTAAAACAGCATAAAAGTACCGTCTTGAAAGTGTCTGCAAGGTTTCATTTTCCTTTGGTGGGTTCTAAGGGAAAATCTATTTCTGTGCGTCTGCTGGTCTCCGGAGGCTGCCCACAGTTCTTGGTTCAGGGCCCGCATGTCTTATCTTCAAAGCCGCGCTGTTGCAGCTCTCTGGTCTTTCCCAGATTTAGCTCCCAAGTCTGAACACGAGAGTCTCTGATTTTAAAGATCAATATAAATAGATTGAGCTCACCTGGAAAATCCAGGGTACTCTCCTCATCTAAACACCCTTAATCTCTTTCATGTTACCATCTAAAGTAACATATTCATAGCTTAAGGGTGAGAATATGGAATCTTGCGGGTAGGGCCTTTTTTGTTTTTTTTTGTTTGTTTGTTTGTTTTGTTTTTGAGACAAGGGCTCACTGTGTAGCCCAGGGCCGGCCTCGAACTCATGGTGATCCACCTGCCTGGGCCTCTTGAGTGCTGGAATCACAGGCATGTGCTGCTGCAGCTGCTGTGGGCCATTATTCTGCCTGCCACATTCCAGAGTGTTTTCTTCTCTTTCTAGCTTACCATTTACTCCTCAACGTCAAGCAAATGAAGACTTCTCTGACGAGCATCTGGGCTGTCCCAGAAGTATGGCAACCGTGTGATTTATTGTCCAAATTGAGGCACCTTTGAGAGTAAATGAGTGCTATTAATATTTACACCAGGAAGCTGGGCGTGGTGGTGCATGCCTGTAATCCCAGCATGCGGGAGGCTGAGGCAGGAGGATCACTGAGAGTTCAAGACCAGCCTGGGCTACAAAGTGAGCTCACGGTGAGCCTGAACTGCATAGCAGACTCTGTCTCAAAAAGACAAAAAAAAAAAAAAAAAAAAATTTACACCAGGCCATGTATACACTGGACTAACCAGAGACGGCAGATGAAACGGGTATTTGACCTGTGGAGGGTTTGGAGGTTCAAATAATGATACTGCACGTGAAGGCCCCAGAAGTAGCCTCAGAAGCAGTTTCTCTCTGACCTCCCGTTCTGTGTCCTGCTTTCTCTGCTCCCCAGGTACAAGCCATAGAGTTGGAGTTTCCCTTCCCAGTGTGAGTGTGGAAACGGGAGCCCCTCTTCCCCAAAGCGAGCCAAAAGGCCTAAAAAGATTGCTGTTATTTTCCCCCTTCTCTGTCTTCGAGCTGATCATCACAAAGTCCTCTGACTTACCCTGTCTAACAGGAGATAGAGAACGTCACTCTTGCCCTGCACGCAGGAGGAAGGAAGCTGCACAGGGAGGCCAAAACAAGCGGGACAGACAGGTTCTGCTAGGTTTCCCCACTCAGACTGCTAGTGTTAGGTCACTTTTTTCCAACCGTAGTTCCACACAGCTGTTCACGCTTCATGGAACCTAATCCTGAAAGTGGGTATTTCACCTGGGTCTTTGGGTGTGCTACTTGAAGGCCCCGTGTGTGTGTGTGTGTGTGTGTGTGTGTGTGTGTGTGTGTGTGTGTGTGTACTGGGAATTGAACCCAGAAGCCTTCACACTCAACTACATCCCAGCCCTTGTTTATTTTTGTTTGTTTATTGAGATAGGATCTCCTTTACTTGCCTGGTTGGGTTCGAACTTTGTATCCGCCTGCCTCCACCTCCCAGAGTGCTTTGATTACCAGCATGCGCCGCCATGCCCGGCCAGGCTGGCACGGCATGTGAAACTGGGGTTATGTGAACTCATTCTCCTCCTCTCTTGGTACCGTCACTGTGTATAAAGGGTATCGGCCCTGGCCCTTTACGATAGCAGGAAAAGCATCACCCCACTTTCAACCCCATAAAACCCTACTGTGAGTTGGTGAACCCACATTACTATGGACTTCTCCCCTCTACCCTGATCTCTTAGAGACGTATTAAGGAAAGGTGTTAGGAGCCATTACTTTCCTCAGAAAACCTATACTTCAGTTCAGCCTGAAGATGGGATACTTTCTCTGGTATTATAGGCTAAACAGGATCTTTTACTCCTTGCTTTTAACCCCATGTAAACAGTATAAAACTTATATTAGGAGCACCTCTTGTGATCTATATTGCAGTATTAACTCCTAGCTCTGCACTTGCCTTTTGCATTTATGATGAGGCCTGCTTTAGCAAGGAGTTCCGTGTAACAAAAACTGAGAAGAATTTGAAGTGAGGAAACTAGAGACATGGCTCAGGTTGGATTTGCAAATGGTGATTCTCAGCTTTGGGGAGAGAAGAAAAATATATCAAACTAAGACTCCATAGCTTTTCCCTTTCCCAGTTTGCAGTGGCAAACTAGTAGCTTTTCAGTTCTGCCCTTTACACTGCTGTAAAGAGATTCCCTTTATATTTGCAGTGAGTATTTCTGGGCTCATTAAAAGTATGGCTGTACTGTAGGTTTTCGTTTTCATTTACTCAGTGTTATAATCCTTACCATCTGCATTCATGTACTTGTCTATTCATTTTGGCGTACTAAAATTGTCTCTGATTTGGGCACTCAGAGTCCCTGTTAGATGTCCCTGTAACCTTTGGATCCAGCTCCTTCGTCTTCGTTCTCTGGCACGAAAAGATATTTCAGACTTACCTTACACTTCACCTGCCCTAGATCCGAACCGCCATTCCTTCAAGGAGCTGTGGCTCCTTTCAGGAAGAACAACCCTGAGAAACCCAGCCATGGGACTTCGGCTTCCTCGCCCTCGCTGACTGTCCGCGCTCCCGGCCCTCGCGGGTCCCCTTTGACATGGTCCCTTCGCCCGCTTTTGTTTGGCTGGGTACTGTTTCACTCCAAGAATACACCTTTTTAAAAAGTCAGTCCTCGGTGGAGAAAAATTTAGGTTATTCCCAGTAGTTCTCTTTTACAAATAATACCACAACAAATAACCCTGCATGTGTGCTGCTTCGGGTCTGTGGCCGGGTATCTTCAGGGGAATGCCCGTAAGTCGGATTGTTAGATGAGAGAGCAACTTTGTTCAGTTCTGCCAGATTCTCCTCCACAGGGACAGGAAGAGTACCTCTGCAAGACTGGCGTGCCTACAGTTTACAACTGTACAGTTTACAACTGTAGGTGACTACAGTTTACAATAATGTGTTTTATACTTGAAAACCACCAAGAGAATAGATTTTAAGTGCTCTCACCACAAAAAATGCTGAATATGTGAAGTAACACATATGTAAATTAGCTCAACTTAGCCATTCCATTATGTATACGTTTTTCAAAAACATTTTGTATGTATCATAAATATGTGCAATTTTTATTTACCAGTTACAGAGTTAATTTTGAATGACAAATTGACTATATGTTTGAAGGAAATAAAGACTACAGAAATGCAGGAAAATGCTACTGTTGTGTTTTCTAAACTTTCTTGTTGAATATCCATTCTGTTCCTTAGAGTCTTGTACAGAGTTATAGAGAAAGCGTCTGGTAATGTGAAATATGCCACAACTTAAGAGAGAATTAAATCTTCAGAGAGGTTCAGTATAGAATTCTCACCAAACAACTGACAGTAAGAACTTGATTATATACAAAAACCATGATAAGTGGTTTTTCTAAGTTTAGGTGGCTGTGTGGCTTTGAATCTCAGATTGCATTAGGTAAGGATTAAATTGTGTGTGTATAATATATATATATATATATCTCAGTACATATAGGCATTATGGTTTTAGTTTTGGTTTTTCTTAATTAAACTTGGTTACAGTGCCTCCTGGTGTCCATACATTGCAATATTTCTGGCTTTTAAAAGGATTTCTTATTCAGAATCTCATTTGAAATGACAGCTCTATGTCCTTGTTCACTCATGATTTATATAGGATTAAGCAGCTCTTTTAAATAATGTTTCCTATTCCTGCATATAAAAATAACACAGGCTTATTGTACAAAATTTATAAAATACAACTGTGGAAAATTCTAGTCATCTATAATGCAACTACACAAATATTTTGTATATTAAACATTTTCTGTGTAAGTTTACATATATATCTATAAATACATGGCTTTTTACAGATTGGGATCAATGTGTTTTTTACATAAGATTAAATTTTAGAATAAATGTAAAATGTATCTTTCACTTTAAGACAAGAGCAGAAATGAAACCATGTAGCAAGAGAGGTTATCCTGTGGTGAATAGAAGGTGGTGTCTTGTCGCAATTGCTCCTCTCCCTTTTTCAAGCACACGCACGGAGCTTGAGTGAAAAAAATACTTAAAGTGAAAGGAAACCCAAAATGTAGAAATACAAGACCGCTTTATGTATAACTTACAGAGGGATGAAGGAACCTCAGTTTGTTGTGCTGGGGATACTTTTTTTCTTAATGCCATGATGAAATTCTTTATTTTAAAGTTATTTCTATGGCCTTTTGTGCAAGAAAGAAGGGAAGTAGCATATAATTATATGTATTTACTTTTTGCAAAGATAAAGAAGGGATAAACAAACTAGTAGAAACAGCTGCATGCTGGGGTAGGTGGCATGGCTAAGGATGTGAGCAAGATTCCTCTGAATATTCCTTTTGTATAGTTTTCACTTTTGAGGCATATAAATATTCTGCAAACTCAAAAATATTAAATGGGGCCGGGAATATAGCTCAGAGGCATAAGCGCCTGCCTGGCAAGTGCAAGGTCCTGAGCTCAATTCTCGGTACCCAAAAAAAAAAATTAAAATGAAGCCAGATGTGGCAGTGCCCGCCTGCCATACCAGCGGTCTGTGGGACGAGGTGAGAGGATGGCAAGGTCGAACCCAGCTTGGGCAACTGAGCAACTTCCTGAGAACTTGCCCCCCAAAAAGTGTGGTGTGTAGTTCAGTGTGAAGGCTGTGGGTTCAATGCCCAGTAACACACACACACACACACATACACACACACACACACACATACCCCTTAATACTAATTCGGAAAAGGTAGAGTCAAACCTTAAAATACAAATAGTTAAAGGTTCAATCTAAAATCAACAGCATATTTATAAAAATCAAACACACACAAATCACTTCATGTAACTTTTGAACATATCACTCGGAATAAGAACAGAAAGAATTTGAATTTGACATCTTGAACTTTTTTGAGTGGCTTTATTACAGGTGGTGGTATTGGCATCGTGATTCTGAAAATGCCTTGTTACACCGTAGAATAGGGCAGAAGAATAAATGTACTGATGCTTTTTGGAACCATGATTCTTTGTAGAAGAGTGATACAAATAAGAAATGGGGAAGACAAGGAAAAACCTCATGGTGCACATTGAATTTGGAGGTATCAGTGTTTTTTAAATATATCTTTTTCTTGCATTTTCTAGCCCCCCATTTCCTATAAGCAGTGACACCTCAATAACAATGAGCAGAGTTTGATTTCCTAACTCCATGAGCCAATAAATGGGAGAAATGTTTAATTTCAGGTTTGAAGCACCCAGGTTGGGAAAGTACATGGTAAACTTGGAAGAAAAGGTCACTGGTCCCTGCAAACAAGGAAGTGCCTCAAAGACTGATGGGACCATGTCAGTAAGACATGTAACTAGCTTAAAGGGGCCTCTCCTGGGAAAATCTGGGGCAGTCTGAGCATCAGTAAGATTGGTAAAAGAAATGGGCCTTGCATGGAGGTACTTGCCTGTAATCCCAGCTCTCGGGGAGGCTGAGGCAAGAGGATCACAAGTTCTGATTCAGCCTGGGCAATGTACAGACTTCGTGAGATCCTGTCTCAAAATAAAAACCTGTGAAGAGGATTTGGGATGTAGCTCAGAGTGAGGGCCCTGGGCTCACCCAGTACAATAATAATAACAATAATAGTAATAATAGAAATGACAGTGTTGGTCAGAATATGAATTCCTGGACACTGACCTCACTGAGACCCTGATTAATCCGTGTAGATGGGGACTGACAATCTACTTTCCTAAGCAATTTACAGGCAACGCCGGTGATTCTCATCCGTGGGCCTCAGTTAAATCAATGGGCCTCCCTGCTTCATTAGAGCAGTGCACTTTAAAGCTTTGACTTTATGTATGAGTTTATAATAACAGAGAAAGAGAGAGAAATTATGCAGAAGGCATATGAAAGAAACATCTCGTATTTATAGAAGAATACCACCTAGCAAATGTACAAGGAATAGCAGATTTAGAAAAAATAATTATTTAGCAGTTCCTGGAGTTATTACATCCCATTGACGGATGCTAAAACTTATTAAGTGAAAGGTTTTGGTGAAACCTGGTATTCACTAGATCTCAAAATATATTTATCATTTCAGATTACAGTACTCAGGCTGGGCATGGTAGCGCACGCCTGTAATCCCAGCACTCGGGAGGCTGAGGCAGGAGTTGGGAGTTTGAGCCCAGCCTGGGCTACAAAGTGAGCTCAAGGCCAGCCTGAACTGCATAGCGAGACCCTGCCTCAAAAAGACAAAAAAAAATTTATAGTGCTCATTAAGGACAAAAGAAAATGTTTATTTTTTACCATGGGAAGTCTAATGGGCACTATCATACTGGCAGTGATCAAATTTAGTGTCATCAATAATAGGACAAACTAACACTCTGATTCCTGAGTGGATACGGTGGGAAATACAGTATCATTTGTCAAATGTTCTTGCCAAAAATATTTAACCAGAATCTAATAAAGACATAGACAGATCAAGACTATGGGACATTCTATAAAATATCTGTCTCGGACTTTTCAAAAAGTTTTTTGAGAAACAAGAAAAGGTAGAGAAAATATTCTAAACTAAAAGTGACATAATCAAATTCAACAGATTTTCAATCAGACAAATTCTATAGGTGATAATTTTCGGGAACAATTATTACAGACAGTTAAATAATGTGCCTGAATTTTACATGTTATAATGGTACTGTGGTTACATAAGAGAATGCTGCTCCTAGGGAGACACAAGATGAGGAGTTTAGCTAGAAAGTATCAGGATGATTGTAACTCCCTGGGGTGGGAGGAGACAGAAGTTGAGACCCCCCCCCCCGCAAAAAAATGGCCAAATTATACTGTTGGTGAATTTAAATGAAAATTATATCTGTGTTAATTTTTCTCTTCACTTTTCTGAGCACTTGAAATTTTTCCAACTAAAATGTTGAGGAAAAATTAAATTCCGTTCCGTGCCTGTTCTGCAGTGAGTCGGATGAGGGTGCAGGGTGGGCACATGGAGAGTAAGGTGGGGTCTGTGAGCAGAAGAGGCTGGAGAAGGCGGAGTCCGGGTGCAGCACACGGGCGGAGAGCACGAGCCGGTGAACCACCTGGCTGGACCACCTGGCGGTGCTTGTTCTAGCAACATAAAGTCTACTGACAACATAATAAAGGTTCATTTCCTGGCCAAGTCATGATTACAGTTGAGAGAGCTGACTCAGAGAGGTGATCTGCCCAGAAGCCAAACAGGTAACAAACCGGAATTCCACCCCAGTGCTGATCCCAAAGCCTGGGTTCCTTATGCCCACTGTCCTGAGTGGAGGGCCTTGCCCACGGTATTCTGAGACTTGAATGAGAGCGTAGCAGCTCCCAGTCTACCGTTCTTTTTACTCGCCACTGTTGGACCCATTTTCCTTCCCAGGAAGCCCCCTGGGGCCCTGACAAGACCTCACTTTGGGGTTCATACCATTGCTTCACTTGTTCTCTGTGTGCCTTTTAAAATACCTGTTATGTCCTACGCACAATCCCAGGGTACAACAGACACAAGACACACTGAGTCACTGCGCCCTTGCTGCTCACCTTCTAGGGAAGAAAGCAGACAGTAAAAAGTGTGTCCACGAACAAGAGGTAGAAAGTAGCAGAGACCAGGAAGTCCATTCAGAGGAGTCAGGGAGCACCTCTCTGCTTACTGGGTTGGAGATCTGAAAGATCTGAATGAAGGCCTGCGGGAAATGTACTCTAAACTGGGAGAGCCCCATGGAGGGGGCCTATATGAGCTCGCAGCGATAAGGGGTATGGGGGAGGTGTGGCTGGGGCGGGGACAGGAGGCAGACACCAGGAGGCCGGTGACGACAATGGGGAGGGTTGCAGGGGAATAACCTGCCAGATTCTCATCTTAGAAAGACCTCTTGGCAAAATTCTGGTGAGGAATGCAGTCACCCAAACAGAAATCGCAGTGGTGGGGATGAGATGTGGTTAGGAGCTGTGTTTTGAAGGAAGACCTGAGGCCGTCTGCTGATCGGTGTGGGATCTAGAGGAAAAAGGAAGCTGTCTTCTAGGTTAGAGGCCCAGGGAACACCCGGCTCACAGTTCCACGTGGCTGATAGAAACAAAGAGATTCAGTGGTAAAATCTGTACACGCCACGTTACTGCTAAAGTCATTCTGTGATCATGTTTATGTGTATGTCTTTTCCTGGCAACCAGAGGTCTCAGTTTGGTAACTGTTTATTCAGCTTCTTTACATGCTTAAAATAGGGTTGATCATATTTGTTGGTTGTTAGTATTTGATAGGCTGAGGTAATATTCATGACAACATCATTCATACAGTTGTCATCTAATAACCATATTTTATATCTGTGGGGCACTTTCAAGATAAAATGTACTTTCTGGCTTAAAGTAATTACAGTCACCACTATGGTAAAGATCTGGTGGACGGGAATCCCTCTGATGTTATTAGATTGTGTTATGTTAAAACAGTCCTTAGCAGGACCAAAGGAGAAGTCACTCTGTCTGTCTCAGTCTCTGCCTTTGCCTGCTAAAGACAGAGCTCATGCAAACTAGAGCAGACCAATTTTGAGGTCTGCAGACTCCAGGGGGCGCTAGGTCTTGGGTTTCCCCCACATCCTGCACACACTGCCATGATCAGTCAGCCTCGAGGACTTAGAGCCACCTGCAGGGATCTAGCCCAGCATCTTCTCCATCTAAACCTCCTGACCTGCCTTGGTTAGGTGAACGGTCACTGCTGCTGTTTTATCTATTAGTCATTCTTTTTTATTTTTTTCCCTGTAGGATTGTTTTCACCTATAATATTTAGAGAATCAGAAATGTTTTAGTGATAGTTACCTTTCAGAATATTTAATTGAAGCTTATCTTTTCCTCAAAAAGTTCAGATTCACTTTTTAAATCTTTAACCAAGAAATATTTCAGAGCCAGACACGGTGGTACACGGCTGTGATCCCAGCACTTGGGAGGCTGAGGCAGAGGATCACAGTTCAAGCCCAGCCTGGGCAGTTTAGCAACTTAAGGAAATCTTTTCTCAAAAAGAGAGAGAGACAGAGACAGAGACAGAGGAGACAGAGATAGGGTGTAGCTCACTGACCTGGAATCCTCAGAGGAGAGACAGACAGAGACACAGACAGAGACAGAGAGAGAAGAGACCGAGGCTGAGCCCGATGGACTTACGTGTGCTGAACAGGAGAGAGAAGCATGTTAAGGAGACTAGGAGGAAAGGCCAAAGAAAAGAAAGACTAGCAAAAATTAGCCTAAGGAAGAAAGCAAGTGACTGATGGGAAAAAATAGGGCAGATCCTAGGGAAAAAGCATTACAGTATTCATGTTCTGAGAGAATATCAGCAAAGATTTTAAAGAACAGCTGCTACATGGGAAACAACTCTGAAATGGCAGGAAAATGCTGCTTTATAAAACTTGTTCAACATTAAGAATGTATCTTCCTGCCACGCATCCCAAGGGAATCCAGTATTTTCAATATTTTTCCAGACTGTTTTCTTTGAGTTTTACAACATGTTAGAACTGGGCAACAAGGCCCCAGCAACACAAATTACCAAACACTCAGGAACACTAGAAGATGTTTTCTTTTTTCTTTTTGTCTTTTTGAGAACAGGGTCTCAGTACGCAGTTCAGGCTGGCCTTGAGCTCACTTTGTAGCCCAAGCTGGTTTTGAACTAGCAACAATCCTCCTGCCTCAGTCTCCGGGGTGCTGGGATTATAGGCATGTACCACCACACCCAGCTGGCATTTTCTATTAAACATTTCCTATAGAAATAAATTAGTAATGTTTAACTTGAAGGTTACTAGGAAGATTCAATTTTTTTAAAATAAGGAAATTATACGGGAACATGCGTATTTGAGGTTGTAATTATTTTGGTAAACTTAGGAAAAATTCTGCTATGAACATTCAGCACTACCTCCCCTACCGACAGATCTTCCCAAAGTCAGAATCTCTTTTTGCCACGATATATATGTATCTTATGTCTGTTACTGCACTTATGATAAATAATTTTTTGTCTAGCTTATTTTTTTTATTAAGAACTTAGTTATTATGAAAGTAATCTATGTTGGCATGGTTTTTTTTTTCTTTTTTTGGCGGTGCTGAGAATCAAATTCCAGGGTCTGAAACATGCTAGGTGAAATTCTCTATCACTGAGCAATAACCTCTGCTCTGCATCTATTTTTATTTGTGTGTTGGAAGCTCAGTGAAGACAGAGATCGTAGCTTGTCTATAAAACAGTATTGCTGGATGTGATGACACGACTGTAATCCCAGTATTTGGGAGGCTGAGAGGCTGAGGAGGCTGAGGCAGGAGGATCCCTACAAGTTTGAAGCCAGCCTAGGATGCATAGTGTGTTCAAGTCTAGTCTGAACTGCATAGCAAGACTCAAAAAAACAAACAAAAAATCAACAAAAAAGCAGTATTGTGGCAATTAGTAGCACAGGCCTTGTCGTCAGACACACCTAAGTTTGAATCTTGGCTCTGGCACTCCTCATTTACCGTAAAAAGTAGTTTTCTTGGGGTTGTAAATTAACCTTGTTTAGTCTCGATATCATGTCTGTAAAATGCAGGCAGCAATACCCATTTTGTTTGTTTTTTGCTTTTTTTTCCAGTACCAGGAATTGAATTCACGACCTTGCACTTGCCAGGCAGGCACTGTGCTGCTGAGATAAATCCCCAGCCCCAGCAATGCCTATTTTGTCGGGGCATTTGTGGACGCTAAATGCAAAGATGTGCGAAGGCATTTAGCCCCACGCTCGGCATACACAAGTTTCCAACCAGTGGTGACTATTACCTGTGTGTCTGTTATTTGCACCTTGCCGTGTAGCAGGAAGGAAGCCCTAGATCTTTGCTGAACAGAGCGTGGCTCAGAACAGAAGGGGAAACACTGAGAGCAATCCGGCACAGCACCCCTGACTTACTGTACCTTTATTCTCCTCTGGTCTTAAGATTTGGGGTCCAAGGGGCTGCTACAGAGGCTGGAGGCCTGCTTCCAGCCCACCCACCCTTGTAGGAGCGGGGTAGAAAGTGTGTTAGTACCAGGCCCTCCCTAGAAGTTCTGAGCCTCTGGTGGGAATTCCAATTCTATCTTCAGTGTCTTTGCTGGGGATATAGCTCAGTGGCACAATTGCCTGCCTAGCAAGCGCAAGGTCCTGAGTTTGATTCCCAGTACCAAAAAAAGTTTGGGTACACCTTCAGTCTCTTTGCCTCCTCCTGTCCTCTAGTCCCAATGCCTCTGGAGAGTCTCCTGCAGATAAGAGCTCTAAGTGACTAACCTGTACCTTAACAGGGTTTCTGGGAGGTAGGAACCATCGTAGACACCATCTCCAGCAAGAAGCACTTCCTGTTCCTGGTCAAAGACTCTCCTGCAGTAAACACAGCACTTACTGTTCTACTGGAGCTACCAGCTTTATGTTTCTCTCCCTTGTGGACTGCTAGGTGTCAGCAAGCAAAGTCTGGGTTTGTTCCTGTTTACTCAGTAAGATGAGCTACACATGTCCCTATGCAAAGTTGAATTCCACTGACGCAGGTGTGGGAGCTGCAGCCTAGAGCTAAGCCCTAAACTCAGATCTTGCTCCTATTCCAAGGGAGGACCTGATTCCCAGAACTTTAAATTACATACTTCTGCTTGCCACAGCCCCTGGGCAATTAGCCTGAGGTACACAGTTTAAGTCTGGATAATTCTTAGAACCCGGGAATAGATTTCAAAGGGATGAGGTTTGTTTAGGGAACAAGGATTTACAAAATATTAACAACAAATTTTTTCTCTGCATATAATTAAAGTTCACTTTTCACACCATTCAGCTATTCCACTGGAGCACGGTAGAAATTCAATATCTGTAGTAGCTGGAGACAATCCAAAAGAATTCTAACTCTATTAGCAAACAGCTTATTTAAACTTTAGTAGTCAGATAAAATTAGTAAATAATTTATTTGTTCCAAATATTACTATTCTGGATCATTCAACATATTAAAATTTTGCAAAATACAATAAAACCTTCTCAGTGATCATTACCCCAGGCTTTGTAAAGCTCTCAGCTAACAACAGGCATTTGCTAGAGTTGTTCAGCTGCAATTAGGTGAAATAAGATCTGAAGAAAGTTTACCAACTCTGTTACTTGCTTTTCGCACTCGCCAGGGAAAAGAGTTACCGTATCGTCATCAGCGTCTCTTTTAAGGCTTGGACCTTTCCACAGCCTCATTTCTGCTGGACGAATGCTAACGTATCTCTTGATTTCATGTGGCTTTTCACAAACCCTGTTAGTTTCCTGAATCCTTCAGTCAGCCCGTCGCCCGTGAGGGCACAGCAGGGCTGCACATACCAGTTCCGGTCACTGCAGAGCTTTTTCACTTTGAACATCCTGGTAATGTCTTCGGCCGTCAGAGCTCCAGGCACGTCTTGCTTGTTAGCTAATATGACGATAGGCACATTTTTAATATGCTCATTCTTCAGAATGTGCTTAAATTCTCTCCTGGAGACATCCAGTCGCTGCTGGTCTGTGCTGTCCACAACGTACACCAGCCCATCCGTGTTCTCACAGTAGTAGCTCCAGGCAGCTCTCATTTTGTCCTGTCCTCCGACATCCCAGACAGTGAGCGAGAAACTGCTGTCCAGCTGGATCATCTCCACATTGAAACCTATTGTCGGGATGGTTGTAACATCCTTAGCAAGCTTCAGTCTATAAAGGAGAGTAGACTTCCCGGCGGAGTCAAGTCCCAGGAGAAGAATATGGGCTTGCTTGGTTTTAGAGCTCAGCAGACCCATTTTAGGCTCTTTGTTCTTTGAAGATCTTTTCTTCCGGCTAGAGACAAAGGGTCCTTTCTGGATCTTGCGTGAAAATATTTGGGAGAACAGAAGAAAGCGAGTGCTTCATGCTGTGAGATAGCCTGAGCAGGAGCCTGTGTACATTTATATTGCAGCTTATCAACTTGATTATAAGCAAACAGTATTTTATTTGCAGTCCCAGCCAATCCTGAGGAATCTGTGGTATAACCAGCCAATGTCAGAATGGCTCAAAGGGGACATTCTTTGTGAGTGAGTAGGATTAGGAGTGGCCTGCCTGGCTGAGGGTGCAACTTAATTCTCTTCTAGATGCTAAAAATGAGGAGAAAATCAAAGGCTCAGGTGTCCCAGGAATACGGCTTGGCAGCAGAATGAAAACACTTTTCATTTTAACTCGAGTAACTTTAGACTCTTTTGTAGAACTTCTGTAGTTATTGACTATTTGTCTTCTCCCGGTTGTAAATAAGTAACCATGCTCCTTATATTGTAAAGAGAGCTTATCGCCCACTCCCTCCGCAGTATCTTACGCACTTTCCCTTTGCCCAGATTACTCAGGAGGAAACGTGAAACCACCCACGCGCAGCCGAACCTTCCCCTCACATCAGAGCATCACTTCTTGAATCACCCAAGCTGACTATTTATTCACAGAGCCAAATTTATAGAGGGAAATTTTTAACAGAAGCATCTGTGAGTTAAGCAGGCGGTCTGAAGACGGCAAATTGAATGCATGTGCGTATTCTCCTTTCCAGGGCTTTCACTAAATGATGGTGAAGGAACAGAAGAAGCGCGGAAATCCACAGCATGAGAAGCGAAGGAGTCCCCCAGAGGATGACAGACTGCGACCACATTCTGGGGAATGCAACACAGATAGAGGAGTGATACCCAACAAGTAGGCAAGAGCCCAGGCATAGATAAAGTGGACACTGGAGTCAGACACGGTGCAGGACTGGGTGAGAGAAGGTACAACAAGGGCTACAAACAGAGGGAGATAACGAAAAGTCTCAATAAGGAACAGAAAGTACACACACACACACACACACACACACACACACACACACACACACACATCCCTGCCTGCTGAGTGACCACCCAGGCAAAAAAAACTGAAGTGGTGTTCTGTGTGTTTGTTTGTATTTATCTTTTTTGCAGTACTGGGAGTTGATCCCAGCGCCTTCACATTGAGATGCATCCCCAGCTCTAGTTTGTTTGTTTGTTTGTTTGTTTTGGAGACAGGGGCTCACTGTTCAGGCTGGCCTTGAATTCACAGTGATTCTCCTGCCTCAGCCTCATGAGCACTAGGATTACAGGTGTGCACCACCACACCTGGCTTTTTTTTTTTCTTTTGAGACCGTCTGGCTAACTCCCTAAACAGGCTTGGCTCAAATTTATAATCTTTCTGCTCACAACTTGCGGAGTGCTGGGATTACAGGCACGTGCCACTGCCACCATGCCCAGCTGAGTTCTTTTCTAAAAAATTAGTCTCAGAAAAAAATCTGTTATGACAGCTTTGAGATTTCACAGTATAATGTGTAAATCAGCATTGAATTAGCCTGTAGCCAGCCCGGCAAGTGGCAAGTCTTTTATGCAGAGTTCCCAAACTATCTTCTAGTGTACAGAAGGTTCTATTTTAATTTATAGTATGCCGAGAGAGATAGACAGACAGACAGACACTAAGACAAAAGTCAGAACTCTTCAAGAAAGTTGAAACAAAGGTGGTGCTGGAGAAACAGCAACATTCTCATTAAATTCTAATTAAAATTTACATTTCATTAAATTTTTGTTGAGATTTGAGAAGATGATATATCCATAAAACAAGAAACAGGATGTTAGCAAAAAAAAAAAAAGAAAAGAAAAGAAACAGGATGTTATTAAAAAGACCTGACCTGGAAAACTAAAACCACACATTTTTATACGTGTAAAAAGATCTGTGATAGGTTGGAAGACAATATTGAAGGAATTTTTCAGAAAGTAAAAGATACAAAATATGAAAGAAAAGAGAAGTAAAGGATCAACTCAGAAGTCTCCACATCTGAATAATAGGGTCTCATTCCAGAGAACAGAAAATATGCAAAAGTGAAAATTATCAAAGAAAAATACAGGATCATTTTCCAAAATTAAAAATTAAAGAAGTCTCCAGATTAAAGGCTTCCTTTAATGCTTACCAATATTTTAAGAAGAGTTCTCTTGAAGCATATGATGTATGTTTTATTTTTATTGAAACAAAAATATTTATTTTTGGTACTACAGGTTGATCTCAGGGGTACTGTACCACTGAATTACATCCTCAGTCTTTTTTACATTTTATTTTGAGACAGGATCTCACTAAATTGCACAAGCCAGCTCTGAACTTGTAATTCTCCTACCTCAGCCATTTTAGTGGTTAGAATTATAGGTATGTCTCACCATGCTCTGCTAAATATTTATTATTTTAAAAAGTAAGTAGACTACTTGGGGTGCAGAAAACACATTTAGGATACATTATGTAAACTTTTAAAAATTAAATTCTTTTTTGGTATCTTTATACACTTGTATTAGTATATGTTTGCAGTACATAAAAATTATATATATTCGTCATGCGGAGTTGTGATAGAGACCACTACAAAGCAACCCTGAGAAGGACTTAAATTAACCCACTGGCTTTTCATGTTTACTTGTGGGTCTGTCCAAGGCCTAGGCTCCTTGTCTGGAGATGGCCAGTGGACTCATAACAAGTGAACCTCTGTGAGTCACTGATCCCTACTAAGACCTGTAATGGTGGAAGAAGCTGGAAAGCCTTAAAGGATAAGACAAGATCACAGCCAAGGACACCTGAATCCAGCCTCAACTAGATAAAGACTATAGCCCCAGACATCTCACTACTGGGTGGATTAACTCAATACCTTACTTGGAGAAGTCCTTGAGTAATTCCCCGCTTTTTGAGTACTCCCCTCCCTTCTTCTGGTAACCAAATAAATACTGACCACCCAGAGAAGGTCTTGGTCTTAGCCCTGAGAGAATCTCAAATTCTGTGAGAGGGCTTTGATCCTCCTGGAGCCCTGAAATCATTCCATTCCTTTTTTTTTTTCTTTATGTCTTTTTGAGACAGGGTCTCACTGTGCAGTTCAGGCTGGCCTTGAGCTCACTTTGTAACCAAGGCTGGTCTCAAACTCAGCCTCAGCCTTCTGAGTGCTGGGATTATAGATGTGTGCCACCATGCCCGGCTCACCTCTCTCTATTCAGCCTTCACTGTACACTCATTCGGGAGATTGCAAACTTGATCAGCCCTCAAACTAAGGGATATTAGTGTACCAACTAGAGTTGGTACATGTACATAACACGTCTTCATTCTTTCTACCTCCCTTCCACTTCCTCCTCCCCTCATCTTAAATTCTTAACCAATTCACTATGTCTCACAATCCAAAAGTACCATTAATTTATGCACCCACCTGTGCTTCAAATATGTATATAAGCTATATATATAAGCCACTATGGGCTAGTTGCCATATCACAAACATAAATTAGACCAGCCTTTAGGTGAATTTCACTGGGGAAAAGGTAAAAGGTATATAAACAAATCACAACAATATGAGAACATTTTAATTATACATGCTCTAAGAAAAGACAAACTAAAGGATTTGGATATGCACAGATTATTTCAGGATGGAGTACATCAGGAAAGTCTAGAAGAAGGTTAAATACTGAACCAGGGATGTAGAGATCCAGTAGGGAAAGGGCGTCCATTAGAGAGATGGTCTGTGTGGGCAGAGACTCAAACATGGAAAGACATGGGATTGATATAGAACAATGACGGTTTATGTACATGTAGTTTTTCTATAAATGTATAACTACCATGAGAAAATAATGCCATGAGGTAATCTAGTTTGTAGGATACTATACAAGACCATTGACCCAGGCTCTTCAAAATATGTTCATGTCAGAATGACAGAAGAAAAAATAAAAAAGGAGCAGGAGTAGAATTTCTTTTCTATAAAGGGAGTGAAACAGTTCTTTTTTCAGTGTTGATTTTCATGAGAGTCTACAGAATTTTCTACACCCTCTCCTACTGTCCCCAAACATTTATGGATTCACTTGTCCCTGCCAAACCCAAAGGAAGGCAAGATGTTTGTTTTCTGTAAATCATTCAAGAATGATGCAAAAATAGGTAGGATTGTGAGAGTGTTACTGATAGGACTTGTGGTGCCACGGGAAATTTGTTTTAAAATACAGGAATGAAGGGAAGAAACATTTTTTCAAAAATGTCTTACCATGAAGAAGGGAGGCAAAAAGTCCTAGATTAGAAGTCCAACGATACACTACTGACCAAATGAAAATTCAAAAACTTATCTCATGAAAGAGAGCGGCAACCTTGTCCATCGTCCTTTATTTTTCACTAATAAGGAAAAATCAGGATGCGGTTGTATAACTTGCTTAGCTTGTGCAGTCCTAGAACATCCTGTTTTTTGTTTTGTCTTTTTTGAAGTAAACTTTTTGGACAGTTCATCTGCAATGTACATATAGGAAGATACAAAAGCTATAAATGTGCAGCTCAAAATTATCACAAGTTGAAAATATTCATGTAACCACCAAGGCCAAGCTTAATGTTTAATGTCACATTTTGTTGTAAGCAAAAATTCCATACTTCAAATGTTTCTACACCATTTTTAGAAATATACTATGGTCCAGAAAAAAATCACTCTGTCCCAGTTGAGGTGCTTCGATGTTGTGAACAGGAGTACGTTCCGACCTTCTAAGTTTTCCAAATGCCGTTTCCTCCAGGCAGACCCAACACTGTCACCACACCTTCAAAGTGGAGTGTGTTCTTCCTCCCACACGAGTAATCCACTGGATCTGAATTCAAATCTCACTGCTTGCGCTCACTAAGCATCAAACAGTGATTAAAAGGAGATGCTGTGGTAACTATATTACGTACAGGAAATGTGAAAAGACATGTCTCAGAACCTGGAACGTGGCTGATACATGTTTCTCCCACCTCTAATCATTTTTGTATACTAGCTAACATTTAAAAACACCTGTAGGGCCGAGGACCTAGCTCCATGGCAGAACACTTTCCTTGCTGTGGGTTCAATCCCCAGCACCACAATCAATCCATCAATACATTTATGTATTGATTTTAAAATAATTGTGATTTTCACCTTTTCCAGGTGAGA